CCTGCTTTTTCCAACTGCTCCATTCTCAGGTGTTTTGCAACATATTTCCTATTTATAAATCATGGGCTCCGCCAGGCAGGGAAGGAACGTTTCAAGTTGCTGTTAAATATTCATGAGCTCGTGTCAATGACAGAGCACCCTGTCCCAAAACATTCCTGCTAACTTGGACGGGAGCTCCAGCTCTTTTCCAGCCCTTGCTTAGGATTCAGCTTGTCAGGGAAAAGAATCTGAGGTTATTTTATCAGAGGTTATTATTTTATCAAGCTTTTTTTTCCCATTTTTAAGCCCAAAACCTGGGAATACATCCCAAAGTACCTTCCAGTGCAGCTGTTTTGGTGCTGTGAGATTTTGCAAATAAATGCAGCAGCTCCCTGAGATGTCCCAGATGTGAAAAATTTGGCAAATATGGAACAGAAATGATCCCTGTGGAGTTTTTTTCCTTTGTTTGTATCAGTTTTTTTTAATCTATCCCTAAATTATGCACCTATATTTTTTATTTTCTGTGCTGAGGAATGTGGCAGTCTGGATTTGTGATTTCAGATTTTGTAGGATCCAAAGCTGGAATGATCTTTAAGGTCCCTCCTTGTGATTCTGGGATAATTTAATTTATTTCCAAAACTATTTCACTTTAATCCAAGGGATTTTCACTTTCCAAAGGGAGAAAGTTCTGTTGTGTTGGATAAAGTGAAGGAACTGTGAGGATCTGTTCCCAAATCTTTGGCCACAGAAAACTTCATAAATGGGAAAAGAACCTTCTCTGTGGGAAGGGAGCAAATCCCTCTGACCAAAACATCAAAGCTGTGTCAATTTAGCAAATTCTGGTCTTAAAATACAGATATTTCATTAAAGACATGATATTAAATTATTCTGTTTAAGATGCAAGCAGAGTCACAGAATCATCATCCTGCTGGGAAAAAAAAATCCATCCATTCAGCTCAATTGTATTTCACTGAATAATATTTCAAATTCTGGTGCATTTCTGGAGTTTTTAATCACAAAAACAACTCAGGAAATGGAATTTGGGCTCTTCCTGCCTGAAAACCCCTGAAATTCAATGACACAGCAGTGCTTAATTCCAATTAAATCCAGTTCAATGACACAGCAATGCTTAATTCCAATTAAACCCAGGCCCACCGAACATGGATCTCATTAAATATGCATCAATCCATCATATTTTTATGACCTCTGTGGTTTTATAACTTTGTGGAGAGCACAATAACAACCTCAGTACCCATGCCAGGGTAGGACACCTCAAACCAGACCCAAACCCAAATCCCAGTGGAGAGTGGAGACAGGGAATGAGGAGAAACCTTGATGGGAAAAGGGTTTCGATCCTCCTGGGAGGATCCATCCCGCTTTTTTTGTGCTTCCAGGGTGGTGAAGTTCCGCCGCACGGGGGAGAGCTCGAGGTCGGAGGAGGATGGAATTTCGGGAGAGCACGAGGTGCAGATCGAGGGGGTGAGGACGGAGCTGGAGCCCGTGGAGCTGGAGGATGGAGCTGCGGTGCCCAAGGAATTCGCCAACCCCACGGATGGTGAGCAGGGCTCGTTTTCCTGCAGGAAAAACCTTGTGGGGTCTCTTCATCCCAGTCAGGCTGGGTACAGGGGATCTGGAATTTTCCAACCCCACCCATGGTGAGCAGGGCTCATTTTCCTGCTGGGAGAGCCTTGAGGGATCTGTTTATTTCAATCAGGCTGGGTGCAGGAGGTTTGGAATTTGCCAACCCCACCCATGGTGGCCAGGGCTCATTTTCCTGCAGGAAAAACCTTGTGGGATCTCTTCATCCCAGTCAAATTGGGTGCAAAGGGTTTGGAATTTGCCAACCCCATCCATGGTGAGCAGGGCTCATTTTCTTGCTGGGAGAGCCTTGTGGGGTCTCTTCATCCCAATCAGGCTGGGTACAGAAGGTTTGGAATTTTCCAACCCCCCAGATGGTGAGCAGGGCTCGTTTTCCTGCAGGAAAAACCTTGTGGAGTCTCTTCATCCCAGTCAAATTGGGTGCAAAGGGTTTGGAATTTGCCAACCCCATCCATCGTGAGCAGGGCTCGTTTCCTGCTGGGAAAAACCTTATGGGGTCTCTTGATTTCAATCAGGCTGGGTACAGGGGATCTGGAATTTTCCAACCCCATGGATGGTGAGCAGGGCTCATTTTCCTGCTGGGGGAGCCTTGTGGGATCTGTTCATCCCAGTCAGGTTGAGTACAGGAGATTTGGAATTTTCCAACCCCCCAGATGGTGAGCAGGGCTCGTTTTCCTGCAGGAAAAACCTTGAGGGATCTGTTCATCTCAGTCAGGCTGGGTACAGGAGGTTTGGAATTTTCCAACCCCACCCATTGTGAGCAGGGCTCATTTTCCTGCTGGGAAAAACCTTGTGAGGTCTCTTCATCCCAGTCAGGCTGGGTACAGGAGGTTTGGAGAAGTTAAGGATGCTCAGATATAAATAATAACTCAAGGAAATTGTGTTAGAGCTGACAATGGTGGTTTGATCAGCCCATTCCCTGTGGGGAGCTCTCTGTGCTCCTTTTTGTGTCCCCAGTGCTGGGTGCTCCTGTCAGGAGTTGTGGATGCAGCTGCCACACTGGAATTGGAATTCTGGGCTTCCTCAGGAGCTGCTCACACCTGGCTCTCCTTCAAGGCTGAGATGAATCTGCAGAGTTCCTGGCTCCTCTTTTCCTGGAGGACATCAGGAATGTCCATCTCAGCCTCTCTTCCTGCCTGGAAGGAGAGAAGAGAAATTTCTCCTCTCTCACTGCTTTAGGAGAGAGGAGAAAATTTGGGTTTGTCTTAACACAGTGTGAAAATTTGGTGTTATTCTTTTTTGTGCTTTATCCCTTAGATTTTGTTTAATTTCCTCCTGGTTTGTGTTGCTGTGGGGATCTCACAGCCAAAGCTTTTCCTGAGGAATGTCCTTTCCAAGCTGATGGAAATGTGAGAACTGTGAGGCTTCAATTGATTGAAACAACTCAAATATCAAAATGTGCTTTTCTTGGTCATTTCATTTTGCATTTGAGACATCTCAAATTTGAGACATCTTTGAACACCTCCAGCTGGAACAAACTAAAGATGTCATGGGAAACAGCCAGCAGCATTTTGAACAGAAGCTGGGTTTAAGATTTGTGTGTTTTGGAGAAATTCTTGATTTGAATAATGAGAAGTTGCACTGAAATATTCCCTACAGCTCCCAGCAGTGCTGTGGAATGGGACAGAGCTGTTTCTCTCCACAGAAAACTGAATTTCAGTGGCTGCAGGAGGAAAAGCCTGAACATGGGCTGGATTTGTGGGTGCCACACTGATTTACCTCCATGTGGTTAAAATATTCTAGGAATAATTCCAATTATTTTGGCCACAGAGGTTTTCCTGAGTAGGAATTGTATAATTACACCTAAGTAGCTCTGGTATAGATTTGAGATCTCAGCAGATTAGCCCAATTAATTAGTAATTAAACCAGAAAATTCTCTCTCAAGGGCTGGTTTTTTCTCAGGAAGTAATCCACTGGAATTGTTTTCTTTGCAGATACTTTCATGGTGGAGGATGCAGTGGAAGCCATTGGATTTGGGAAGTTCCAGTGGAAGCTCTCTGTCATTACTGGATTGGCATGGGCAAGTAATTGGGATCAGGATCAATTCATGATCAACACTTAGGAAACCTCAGGGATTTCAAATAATTTTCAAATAAATTTACAATAAAGCAAGAATTTCACTGGGAATTCTAAACCAACAGCAGCACTCAGCCTTGTTGTGAGGGGTAATGATGGATTTGTCTCTGAAGTTCTTAGAAATCAGGGTTTGGAAAATTATTTAAATTCTTCACTTCAGGTTGGTTTCAAATGAAAGAGGTTCCAGGCTGCTCCTGCAGTGATTTTGCCACATCCTCCCATCAGCTGCCACCTCAGTTGTCTGTATCAGTCAGGATTGCTGTAATCTCAGTTTCAGAGGAGCAGCAACCCAGCACTTCCACTTTTAACGTTGATATCAACAATCAAAAAATCTTGGTTTGCATTTTTCTGCTCTCTCTGAAGCTCTGTTCCACCTCCTGTGGTGCATTTCAGGATCCTGATGCCTGGAGCTGTATTTACTGGCTTTTATCCATGTAAAAAGCTGGAATGTGCCATGGTTAGATCCTAAATCACCTGTGGAATTTGGTTTCAGGGTGATCAATGCAAATCCAGGAGTGTTTAAGGGAATAATCACAAGATATTCAACACTCCTGACTGAATCCATGTGGGAAGAAGCTGAAATCTGGAATTTGCACTATGGAAGTGACTGAACTGTGTCACTGACCACCCAAACCTTTGCATTCACCTCTTTAAATCCTCTCTGCCAGAGTTACTAAAAGTGCTGACAATCAGAAATGACTTTAAATATTAAATATTCAACATTTTCTTCAACCGCAAGGTGGGAACATCACGGAAATGTCACCAAGGCCTAATATTGACTCCTAAATCCACCTGACTTGCAGGAAATTGTTGATTTTTGCTTTCTTTTCCCCCTGCAGATGGCAGATGCCATGGAAATGATGATTTTAAGTATCCTTGCTCCTCAGCTGCACTGTGAGTGGCGCTTACCCAGCTGGCAGGTTGCATTGCTCACCTCGGTAGGAAAAATACCTGACAGCTCCTGTCTTCCCTGAGCTTTTGCCATCATTGTTATCCAGACATTTTTGCTTTGTTATCCCCCAAAATTAAATCTCCTCGTGGCCTTTGCAGGTTGCCTTCAGCTTGGAAGTTTATAGGAGGTTTTTAAAAAAAGATTTGTAGAAGTTTTTTTAAAGATTGATGTAATGAAATTCAGTGAGAACTGAGGGCAGTTTTCAGGTTTCAGGCTCAAGTTTTGTGTAATTTCTAGGAAAACCAATGAATTCACTCAGATTTATCCTAAAATTCAAACAATTTGATTAATTTTTTAAAAATTGGTAAATTTTTATTATCTTGCCTGCAAATTATTCTCTCTCCTCACATTTAAGCTTTCTGACATGCTGAGAGCCCTGAGAGAGAATAAAAAGTTGATTTTTGAGGTTGGATTCAATGATATCAGAAATCTTTTCCAGCCTAGATAATTCTGGCATTATCCAGTGATCTTTGGAAGCAGAGATCTTACAACACCACCTCCAAGGAATGTGCTGTGATGTTGGAATCCTGCAGTGCCTTTAGGGATAAAAAAACAAATTTGGGAACCCTTCTCCACTGTTAAATGCAGGGACTTTTCCCCCTGAATTTCTCTTTCCTTTAGTTTTTAATGCCCTTTGTTTGTGTAAAATCCTTCAAATGCTCAGCAGATTGTTGTCCTTGAATCCCATGAATGTCCCATCCCTGAGTGGCACCTCTGGGTATTTTCTTTCACACTTCAGACTTTTGTAAACTTTGAAGTTGTAATTTTATCTCCATTCAAACCTGGGAGCTGCTGAGGATGGTGGTAGGAGGCTGGAGGAGAGAATCCTCAATGAGATCCTGCAGATCTCAACCAACAGCTCCAGAGCTTTTATTCAGGATTATTTTCCCTGGAGCTGGAGATCTCTGTGTCTTCCAGGGCTGGACTCACAATGTGACAATACCAGTGTTCCCAGTCCGGGCCAAACTGGGATTGTCTGGGCTGTCACTGATGGATTTTTTAATGCAAAGCTGACTTGAGGAGGGACCTTGTTGCTTCCCTGCTCCAGCCCAGAGAGAACTGGATGATCTTTGAGGTCCTTTCCAACCCAACCCATTCTCTGACCTCCTGCACATCTCACTCTGTTTTGGGCTGAAATGTTCTGGTTTCATTGGAAATTTGTGTTCTGTGTTTGTCACACTGGAATTTTCACTTGTTAAGGGAAAGATTTTGTTTTTTTCCTGTTGTTCCACAGGTGGTGTTTGTGGGAATGATGTCCAGCTCCACCCTCTGGGGAAACATTTCAGACCAGTATGGGAGGAAAACAGTAAGTCTGCAGCTCCTGCTGGGATCTATCCCAATGTTTCTGCAGCATGGATATTTCAGTGCAGCTGGCCCAGAGAAGCTGTGGCTGCCTGGAAGTGTTTGAGGCCAGGTTGGAGCACCCTGGGATAATGGAAGGTGTTCCTACACCTGGAATGGGATGAGCTTTAAGGCCCCTTCCAATCCCAAAGCATTCCAGGATTCCACAATCCCAAATGTCCATGTACACCAAGCAGCACTAAGCACATCCAGAGCTGAGCTCCTGTTGAAGTCGGAGGGAGAGATCCACCTTGCATTGATCAGCATCACTCCCATTTATTCATCAATCAGACACTTTTTATAACAGTGTTAATCAAGCTCATGCATATTGCAAAATCTGAGCTCACAATAGGTCAGAGATAACACACCAACCCCTCCTTATGTTTCCAATACCAAGATTTGGGTTCTCAAAATTATTCTTGCTTTCCCAAAACAGCCAAAGATAGAACATCCACTTGTTATGAGAAAGCTGCCTGAGAACCCTGGTATGCCAGGTTCTCAAGGCCTTCCTGTTTGTCACTTTTACTTGTAATTAAAAACAACCTGAGAACCTCTGCTGTTCACAGAAGCAGGCTGTGAGAACCTGTCCCTCACAGCTGCCTTCTGAGCCATCCCTGAAAAAATCTCCAGCAAGCTCCTGTGAAACAGAAGGCATCTGAAGCTCTGTTTTTACACTTTAATTTGTGTTTTACACTTTAATTTGTGATTTTTAACTCTTGCTGAACACAGGGCCTGAAGATCAGCGTGCTGTGGACTCTCTACTATGGGATCCTCAGTGGATTTGCTCCCATTTACAGCTGGATCCTGGTGCTGAGGGGCCTGGTGGGCTTTGGCATTGGAGGAGTGCCTCAGTCGTAAGTAAATACTCACAGCTCAAAAATCCCTCATTTCTCTTTCCTTCTCATGAGATTCTCCTGTAGGACTGAAGTTTTGTTTTTGTTCAGCCACCCCAAACCTTGGTCTTGTTGCAGGGCAGGTCATGCCTTGAACAAAGCAGGATTTAGAGGCAGAGCTGAGCCCTGAGTCTGACTGTAAAACCCCAGATTATTGCTCAGTCAGAGCCTGAATTCCCCATCTCACCCTGAGCTGGAATTTCAAACCCACACAGCCCAGACCTGAGCACTGGAGATGGCTCAGAAGGAAAAGGAAGTGCCAGGATCCAGGAATTTATGGATTCCTGAAGAGAGGAATCCATAAATTTTCCACCTGCAATAAATAACCCTGCTCAAGGCTTTTAATTATAAATGTAAAGAGAAGGGTGCAGCCATTCTCTCTTCTCTCTCTGTAGCCTTTTATCCTTACCAAGAATTGATTTTTTTTTTGCCTTCTGGAGGTGCTGTTTTGGAGCAGGAGAGCCTGGCTTGCATTGATGGCTCATGATTCCTTTCCAGTGGCTTTTCCATGGCCAATCCCAGATAAAAACCCAGAGCTGCAGGTGCAGCCCAGCCAGGGCCACTGTTCTGGGCCCACTGAGGTTCTGTGGCTTCATGAGAGAAAATCCAGAGGCAGTTACAGCTCTCCAGGTGGATCCCATCCTCCCTGAGTCTGTTTCCTGTTCTGGCTAGAAAAGGGTTGATTTGACAGAGGGGTAAACAAGGATGAAGCAGGAAATGTAGCTCCTTTCTAATTCCTTAAGCTGTGGGATTTTGGAGTGATTTTGTTGTGATTTTTGCCTGGATCTCCATGGAGTGAAAGTCATTTCCTCCTCTGGATTGGCTCCAACAATTCCATGTCCTCCTTTTGCTGGGGTCATTCACCAGCTCCTGTTTTCTCTGCACTGCAGAGAGACCTGAGCTGCACTTTAAGATGTGATTTGAGTTCTGTGAATCTCTGCTTGAATGAAATATTGTGTGAAACTTCTGCTTTCCACAAACTGGGCAGCTCCTCAGAGATCAAGCCACTCTTGAAGTTTGTAGGAATTTTGTCCCAAACCTCAAAGGAAGCAGGAACAGACTGAGCCAATGGAATGCAAACAGAGCAAAGCCAAACCTTCCCAGTTTGAAAGAGATGACAGAGCCTGGACTGGAATTCCTGCTCAGGAATTCCTGCTGGAGAAGCTTTGCCATCACTCCTTGGCACAGGCACGAAACAAAGCCTCAGTGGTTGCTCTTTGAATCCCACAATAAAAGAATGCAAATTATTTTCTATCAGCGACATGAAATAATTCCCCTTTTGGAGGATTGAACCCTGGCACAGGAGATGGATGGGAATTCTCTGAGCCAGTTGTAAAGCCCTGAAGAAATTCTTTATCCAGCAAGAGTTCGTGTTGAATTCTGATGGACCACACTGAAAATACCCAATAAAATTGTATTTCCAATGGACTTTGCAAACATGAGCATCAAGATCTGCATTTAACTGACCATGGGGCCACAAAACCACACAAAAAGATCAAACTGTGTCCTCTGTTGCAGTGTTGAAAGGTTTATTCTGGGGTGGAAGGGGGGTGTGACCCAGTGTCACAGCCTGGCTGGCTCTGGGGACAGGGAGAGCTTTGAGTTGCTGCTCTGAGTCTGACACCTTTATAAAAGGCAAAAGGGATGTTTGAACCTGTGGCATTTCCCTCTCTGTGCTGACATTTTCCTCTCTGTTCCCTCTTTTAGGGTAACTTTATATGCTGAGTTCCTGCCAATGAAAGCCAGAGCAAAATGCATTTTATTAATAGAGGTGAGTGGGTGCATTCTGGTCCTCAGGGGACAAATCCTCTGGTGGTCACATCCCTTCCATCCTCCTGCCTGGAAATGCCCTCAGAGCTGCAGCCAGGCCTGGCCTGTCCGTCTTGGTGGAGCTCCTGAGCTCTGGAACCAGCCCAGCTCCAAAAGCAGCAGAAAATTTTCCTGTCACACTCCACTCTTGCTGTTGAATTTTCCTTTTTCCAAATTATTTTGCACCCAGGGCTGCAGAGCGAGCACAAGAGGGGCATTGGGTGTCCATGATTTTGTAGTAAAATCCATCTCAGTGATGGATTTGGAGAGCTGACAGCTCCACAAATTCAGTGCTCAATTCACCTGCACATTTTCATCCGAACCTATCAAAGTCACTCAGGGCAGAATTTTGCTCTTGGAATATTTTAAGGCAGAATTTTCACCCTTGGAATTTCTCTCTCCAGCCCTCCCTGGTGAGCACAGCCTGGAATGTTCCAGAGGCCTTGGGGACATCCCATTCCTCATTTTTTCTGTTGTTTTTCCCTCTTGCAGGTGTTCTGGGCCCTTGGGACAGTGTTTGAGGTGCTCCTGGCAGTGGTGGTGATGCCCACGCTCGGCTGGCGCTGGCTCCTCATCCTCTCTGCCCTCCCACTCCTGCTCTTTGCTGGCCTGTGTTTTGTAGGTATTTCCTCATGGATTCATGGAATTCCTGCAATTCCCATCCTTCCACCCCATTCTGTGACCCAGCTGAGGGGAATCAGGGCAGTTTTTGAGCTCTCTGGTGGTGTATTCTGTGAAATAACTGAAATAATGATCAAAAAATGCAGTTTCAACAGGGTGCTGGGAAAAACATTCCAGGGGGAGTTGTGTTGATGTGACTGTAATTTCTGCAGGGCTGGAATTTGGTGAAATCAGACCTGGAACCCTCTCCAATCTAATTATTTTATTTCAACTAAGCTCAGTGGAATTAACAGCTTTTTTATCAAAAGCTGTTGCTATTTCCCTAAGCCCTCTTTAGATTTTGTCACTTCTAGAATCAATTTCCACTTAAGAATCCTCCCAAATCAGGGATAGAATCTGCAGAGTGCAGGCCAGATTCTAAAATATGCTAAACCTGAGCTTCAGTGATATATTTTATTATTTATTAGGTGATATCTTTGCCAATCACTCAGTCTCCTCATAGATAAATGTCCTTGTCTGGTGGTTTAGCAGCCTTTTTTATTCCTTAGTTTTTCAGGAATATCTCCAGTTTTCCCGGTGATCACAAGCTTGTTTTAAATTTAAAGGAGCCTAAACCCATAAATTTTATTCCAAAAATTCCATAAATTTTGGAATGCCAGGAGCATCTTGTTATCTGCCCTGGATGCTTTGCCATTCCTGCACAGAAGGGATAATGTGAAAAACCTGCAAAAATTCCCAAAAGCTCTCAGGGATAAACCCAAAGGAATGGAAGGGAAAGGGTTCTGAGTATGGGGAAAGTGAGGAGTTGCAGTTTTTAAAGCTGATGAGAGAATTCTTCCTTGGAATTCTTCCAGCTTAGCTCTGTAACCCTTTGTTATGTGAGAATCTGCTGGAGTCACTGAGATTCCCCCAAGGAAAATCCCAGATTTATTTATTGCTGCTTGTGACTCCCTCCTGTGTGTGTGTGCCCTGCTCTGCTCCCTTAGTGGCTGCCAGAAAGTGCCAGGTATGATGTTTTATCTGGGAACCAGGAGAAGGCTCTGGCCACCTTGAAGAGGATTGCCACAGAAAATGGAGCTCCAATGCCCCTGGGAAAACTGGTGGTGTCCAGGCAGGTATGTACACAACAGTGAAACCAAGGGGGTTTGTGAGCAAATCATCAATGTGTTGTCGATTTTAATGTCTCAAATAGGCAAAAAAAAAAAAGAGGTTTGATCATTTAGGCCTCTTTTTTACTGAGGAGGAGTTAATTTCTCATTTGGAAGTGAAAAGCAGCTTTAAAATGGGCATTTTAATGCTAAAGGGGCATTTAATGTTCTTTAACCTCACTGTCATTAAAGAAAACCAAACCTTGAGGTTGTTGAAGAGCTCAGGTCAGAATTCCTGGATCTGAATGCATGAAACAAGATGAAATTTGGCACTTTAGCTGTCCCTCATCACCCAACTTCTGCTTGTTCCCAACAGGAGGACAGAGGCAAAATGAGGGATCTTTTCACCCCCCATTTCCGCTGGACCACGTTGTTGCTCTGGTTTATTTGGTAAGAAAAAACCTGAATTTTCAGTGCCAGCACAGCTCTAAATGGGTTTTACTGAAGGGATTTTACACAAATACAGCAACTTCCCCCTCAGAAAAACACCAACCAAACAAAAAAATCCCCAACCTATATTGATTTGTAATTTATTCAACAATCCAAGCATTCCAAATCAAATTGCCCATTAATTTTCTGAATGCTGAAATAGCTTTGAGGTAGGATTTTTGATTGGTGGTGTTTCCTTTAAATTGGACCAGCTGAAACTTCCTCTCTCATTTGCTTCCTTGCAGGTTTTCCAATGCTTTTTCATATTATGGGTTAGTTTTATTAACTACAGAGCTCTTCCAAGCAGGAGATGTTTGCAGCAGTGAGTATTGCTCCATCTGTTCTTTTTAAATTTGTCCTATTAAAACTGCTGGAATATCTTTGATTAGATCACCTTCTGCTGGTGGTTTGAAAAAGGAACATGGCTGAGTTTTAAGTTTATTTTATTTAAAATATTTCCTCATTTCTGCCCAGTGCAGAGAGGTCCTGAAGTTGTTTTGATCCCAAAATGTTAAACAGCAAGACAACCTTCAAGGCAGACCTGTTATCTGATCCTCTTGATAAAAAAAAGTGATTAAATAAATAGAAGTTTGCAGATTTGACAGGTTTAATTAGTTCTGAGAGAAATAAACTGCTGCTGTGGAGCTCCTGGCTTCTCAAGATGGGAAAACCTGCTGAGAAAAAAAGATAATGGTGGGAAATCAGCATCCTTTGTGTTGCAGAATTTTTTGGGGGGAAAACGAAGGTGCTTTGACTGAGTTAAGAAGCGACTTGAACAGTTTGATTTCCCCAGGGGAGGAATGATTGCATTCAGAACATTTGTAATTAGGGAAAACTGCCTGGAAGTTGGGAAATGACAAAAGGTGGCTGAGGAGAGTTGGAGCAGCCCCAGATTCCAGGGCTGAGCAGCAATGATGAGCTCTGAGAGCTCTGACTCAGGTTTGCCTCCCCAGAGGAGGATGTGGCCCTTAAAAACCCTTGTTTTTATAAGGACATGGGGTTTTTCAGTATTCTCAGAGTGCAGGAAGTGTTGGGATCCCAGTTTGTGGTGGCAGAAACTGAATTATTGGAGTTAATTCTGTCCTGAGCCCTGGGCTGGAAAATAATTCTGGCTGTATAGCTGATAAGGAGGTGGAATTTTCACCTGTCACAGAAAATGTTATAAATGTTCAGTGTTTTCAGGCAAAATCACCCAGCATTGCTCTTCAATGCCCCTCTGACTCTGAATTCCATCTCAGGCATTCAGAAGAGGAATAACAATTAAATCAAAGGGGCAGAATCACTTGAATTCCCATCCCTGAACAACTTCCCAGGAGTATTTTAAAGGATGCTGAGTGCAGTGAATCCATCCCAGTCCTTCCAGCCCATCCCTTCCTAAATTTCAGCAGTAAAAAAGAGAGACCCAGCAGGAAGGGTAAACAGGGAAGAGTTTGCTTAAAATATATTGAATATTTGTCCTTTTTTCTCCCTGCAGTATCCAGCAGAAGGCAGGAAGTGAAAGCCAAGTGCAGCCTGACCTGTGAGTACCTGACAGAGGAAGATTACACTGACCTGCTCTGGACAACCCTGTCAGAATTCCCTGGTAAGCACAATGGGAAGCTCCAGTTTTTCCTGGGAATGGTTTAGGGTGTGGAAATGAGCTCTGGACTGGGATTTCTGGCCTGATGCTTCCCACAGCACTCAGAGCTCTTTGCTGTAGCTGTGGATTCTCCCTGCCCTGGGATCACTCCAGAAAAAATCAGTCCTTGCTCTGGAATGGCCCCTCTGTGTGTTCCAACCCAGCAACACCTCAGGAGGAGCAAAACCTCAATCCAAGGGGCAGAAACACTGGGATTTCTATCCATAAATTACTTTCCAGAAGTACTTTCAAAGGATGATGGATAGAGTGAATCCATGGAGAACTTGCTCTCTAAATCCCTGCATCCAGCCTCAGTCCTGATTCTGGGAATTTCAGGCAATTCCAGCAAATTTCAATGCACAGTCTGGCACAGGATAAGCAAAATAGTGTGGAACAGCCATTGATCCTTCAGATGGAGGAGATCTCCCAGTGTTAATGTGATTGAAGCAGACCAGAGACAGGGATCAGGATGTTTTCACTCTCCTGGATCCTCATTCAGGGCTAAAAGCTCAAGGAGAAGCCACTTAATGAATGATAAATTGCAAGTATGACTGAGAAATATGCACAGTCATTGCTAAGAGGAGTGTGCTGCCAAGCAGGAATTTTGGGAAGGATACCCAGGAAAAAAAGAGTGGGTGCCTGCAGTGGTGCTGTGGCTGCAAAGTCTGGTTTGATCCTCACACACTCACTGAGGTGGGAGTGGGAAATATGGACAGGGTCCCTCTGGATGTGGCACTGATGCTGGAATAATCCCCACTCCTGCTGTGCATCAGCTTTTGAAAGGATCTGGGAAAATTGCAGTACAGGGAAGATCTAATAGTGAGATTTACTGAGCTTGATCTATTTCCTATCAAAAATCAGGGGAGAAATAATTTGGTGAAACATCTAAATGACAGAACAGAAAGAAAATACCACATTCTAAAGAGCCCTTAAATCCAGCAGGGAGCAATGGCCAGAAGTTGAGCAGAAGTTCTTTTCTTTTCTTCCAGTGAGCCATGAGCAGGTGTTTTAGGCATTCCCATCGGTAATCCCTGGATGGGAGTGGGGATTTGTGCATTTGTGGAGCAGCTGGGACACAGAATTGCTGTTTCCACATGGCACCAGCAGCAATCCATCCCACAGCCCTGCCTGGGGCCAGCAGAGGTTTGGAAAGAGAAGCCAAAATTTCCAGGCTGTGTTGAATCTGCTGCAGCCCCTCTTTGCTTGATTCCCAAGGGTGTCCTGGTCCCTTCCCACAGGTGTGTTGGTGACCCTGTGGATCATCGACCGCATCGGCCGCAAGAAAACCATGGCCCTGTCCTTCCTTGTCTTCTCCTTCTGCAGCCTCCTGCTCTTTCTCTGTGTTGGAAGGTGAGTCCAGCACAGGGAGCAGCTGGAGGGAAGGATTTCTCCATGTTCTCTCTTGGTTGTGGTGGGAGAGCTGGTTGGAAAAGCTGTGGGATGGTCGTGCTCAGCTGGAGGAGGATTTAAGGCTGGGGTTGGGTTTTCTCACCAGAGTTTGGGAGGGAAGGAAAAGTGAAATCCAAGTGAAACCCAAACTCTGCTCTTCTCTTTCTCCTCACAGAAATGTTCTTACTGTGCTGCTCTTCATTGCAAGAGCTTTTATTTCAGGAGGATTTCAGGCTGCCTATGTTTACACTCCTGAGGTAAGGGGGCTGTTGTGATGGGAATATTCAAGGGGAGTGAGAACAGGGTGGGAAAGTCGTTTTTATGACCTGTTCCCAATGGACCTCACCCCAGACTGGAGCTGTAGATCCCATTGTCATTGTCTGACAGAATGTGCTGTGGCACCATTTATTAATTCCCATTGATTTAGGAGTGGAAGAAGCAAAACTTCCCACTGGGATTGATGAGATGATTTTTTTTCCACAGGTTTATCCCACAGCCACACGTGCTTTGGGCCTGGGAACATGCAGTGGAATGGCCAGAGTGGGAGCCCTCATAACCCCGTTCATTGCACAGGTAAATCCCTTCTCTGAGACTGGACACACAGGAAGCTTGGATTGATGATCCTGGAGGTCTTTTCCAGCTTTTGCAATTCCATGATTCCATGAAAGTGATGCAGAACCTGCTTTCCTTCCACTATCCCAGATTGCTCCAAGCTCTGTCCTTGGACATTTCCAGGGATGGAGCAGCTACAGCTTCTCTGAACAGCCTGTGCCAGGACCTCCCACCCTCACAGGGAAGAATTCCTTCCTAAAATCCAGTCCAGTCCTCCCCTCTGAGAGTTTAAACCACTGTCCATCTTCCTGGCACGATCTATAAAATCTCCCTCCTTTCCAGAAACTTCAAATTAAACTTGATTCCCAATACAACGATTAAAATTCCAGTTGTTCCACCAGTGTCTTCTGTTGCTCCACCAGTTTATTTCCATGCTGAGGTGCTGTTTTGCATTCTCTGCCTTTCTCCTGCAGGTGATGTTGGAATCTTCGGTCTATCTGACCCTGCTGGTTTACAGTGGCTGCTGCCTGCTGGCTGCCCTGGCCTCCTGCTTCCTGCCCATCGAGACCAAGGGCCGTGGCCTGCAGGAGTCCAGCCACAAGGAATGGGGCCAGGAGATGGTGGGCAGAGGATCTCATTCCCCAGGGGAATCACAGGAATGATGGGACATGGAAACCTGCTGGAAGAATGAAGGATAGGAGCAAGGTGTCTCACCAAACCTCCGAGCCTGAAGCATGGAAAGCTGACCACCATCACTGCCATCCTCACGTGTCAAACTGCAGGAGTTTGGGGTTGAACCTCAGCAAATTGTGTTTTCTGCTGCTCGTTGCTCACACTCATCAAAACTTTTTTGGATGGAGAGGCCTTTGATCCAGATATCCTTGGAAGTTTAGCAGGAAGGGTTTCTCTTCAGTCTGTCGTGCTTGCATGGTCAGCTCTTCAGCTTAAAATGTCCTGTGCCAAGCAAATGCCAAGTGACTGCAGCCCAGCATAAGCTGTCATTAAAACACTGAGCTCTTGATGCCTGAAACCAAGAGGTTCATCTTTAGGGTGGCCCTGGCCTGGCACAGGGTGGATTCCATCCCTACCACTATGGATTAAATGCCTGCCTTGCACTTTTAGCCATCAAAACCATCACCAAAATGTGATTCTGTCAAACCAACCCAAGCTTTCCAGTTGGGTTTTGTTTCTGGAGAGTTGGATTGCTTGGAAATTGATTTCTGACTGTTTCTCTCATCCCAGGTGGGTATGGAGCAGGGAGGGTGGTGTTGCTGCAGAGCTGGGACCTTGTAGCAGAAATGTAAACCACAGAATCATTGAGGCTGGAAAAGACCTCCAAGCTCATCAAGTCCAATGCATAAATCCTCGAGTTTTGGAGCAGAATTGGACTTCTCTGGTATTGCCAGGGACCTTGAGCTCTCTCTGTTGCTTGGAGTGAGGAGGTTCTCACTCCTGGGGTTCTCTGTGTGGATCCAGGTGTGTCCCTGCTCCATTTCCTGGGCACATCCTCATGGTGGGGCGGCCCCAGCTGCTGTTGGGATGGAGCCACTCCCTGGCAGCTGGGCAGGACCTTTCCTGCTGATTGTACATTGGTGACAGAGGAATGTAGCTGGAATAAATGAACAAAAGCATGGGAAGAGCCCATCTGCAGTGCCCTTGGATGAGGAGCATCCCTCCTTCAGGTGTGGCTCCTCAGGGGATGATCCTGCTCTTGTCAGGGAATGCAACAGAGCTCAGGTGAGGACAAGGTGAGGGCAGGCTCGTCTGGTTTGTCACAAACCTGTCCCTGGGCACAGCTCAGGTGGCAGAGTCTGTGGGAATGTGCAGAGATCTGAGATGTGCCTCAGTGGATGTTGAGGATTCCAGACCTTGGGACACACAGCCAAAAATGGGTGAGATGGACTTGGTGAGGCTGTGGGAGCTGTGGGGGTTTGTGGTCTGTCTGACAAGTGACTCACCTGAACACAGGTAAATGTGCAGCACATTTGTACACTTGAACATTTGAAGTATCCTGGGAAGCAGGTGCCATTCCTGGGGTCAGGAATAGGTGTCCAAGTCCATGTTTGGTGCAGTCCAAGGGAGCTCTGTGGGGCTCAGCTGTCACTGAGGGTCACAGCTCTGAGGTCACTCCATGCTCCCCCACGTGCCAGGCTGCTTGTGTGGAGACTGAGGGGAAAACAGGAGTGGAAAAATCTTTAAAGAAAGCCAGGAAACTGATGAAAAAGGTTGAAATTGTGTGAGGGAGGGATTTCTGCTGAGAGCAGAGTTTGGTCCATCCAGTCCCACTGGAGATTGGTGACTCAGTGAAGGATTGCAGGAATGGTTGGTGGAAACAGGCAAACTTGGCTTTTCCCAGAGAGATGGAAATGAATTCAGCTCCCAAGGGATCCCTGGGCTCAGCTGTGGGTGGTGGCACAGAACCCTCTGTCCCTTCCAGCTGGGTTGGTTCCCTTTGTGTCCCTGTCCCTGTGTCCTCACGCTCCACCAAAATCAAGCTCCGGCTGATCCCAGTAAACAGCCAGGGCTCTCTTGGCACTGACACAAGCACAGCTCATCTGTTCCCCTCCCTCCTTCTGCCAGGCTGGAGCTGGATCCTTCTCCCTGTGAGCCTGGAGCAGAGCCAGAGAGATTTATTCCATGGAATTCCAGAATTCCAAAGTGCTTTGGGTTGGGAGGCACCTTAAATCTCCTTCAGGCAGGGACACTTTCCTCTAGACCAGGTTGCTCCAATCCCCATCCACACCTGACCCTGAGCCCTTCCAGGGATGGGGAACCTCTGCTTTCACCTGGTGGATATGGGACACAGCAGTGAGGAAGCAGATCCTGGGTGGGTTTAATCAGATATTGCCCCACATGTGTGGCCAGAGAGCTGGAAAAGCTGCTGGAGCTGGGACCTGCTGGAGCTGGGATCACCCCTCAGTGACAGCTCTGACATTCCATCCTCATCCTCACCCTGCTGCTGCTGGAGGCCCTCGAGGCCATTCCAGCCCCCCCAGGTGTTTCCATGCTTCCTTCCTTGGGCTTTCCATGAGCTGTGTTTGCATCCCAAAACTCTGGAACGGAGCCTGGGTGGAGGTGACAGAGAATCCAAAGTGCAGGACAGGCCATGGCCCAGTTTGTTAATCAATGCCTTGAGTTAAAATTCTGCTTTTCTGGGGTAATGTTCACATCTCACTCCATTTTTTTTAGGTGAATATTCAGCAGTTTTATGGAATTGCATTCAACAGCCTTTAGAGAGTTTTAGGTGAAGTTTCTCTGTTCATGCACCCCTGGATCCTACAGATAAGCCACTTCCCAGGTAAAGGTTTATAGGAAATGCAACATTTTCCATGCTGTTGAACAGATCAGTTTTAACCTGTGACATTTACAGTGTTAACCAAAAAATGGAAGGCATTTTTGCTTTTCACTTTTTATGAATTCTGCACTAAAAAAAAAAAAATCTATTTAAGGATAGAAATACCAATATTGTTGTTGCTGGATCTTTGATTTTGTTAAAGCTTGATCCAAAGCTCACTGAAATCTGGGAAAATTTCCTGTGGATATCCCTGGGCTTTGGATCAGCTGAATGAAAGGAGCCCCCCACAGCTGATCCCACCTGGCTGAATTCAGCAGGAGCCCATTGGGCACTGCAGAAACGGAGCTGGAATTGAGGATTTGCAGGAATTTGCATATAATTAATAAGAGAAGGCCATTTTAGCTTGTTCACTGAGAACACTGGGGTTGACACACACCAGTTGTAAACCACCACTATAGATTTTATCAGTAGGGCAGCACCATTTAGGTACAAAATATTCCAAAGAATCCTTGTCCACACTGAGTATTTCTCACTGGTAAAGGAATTGCTGCTTTGTTTCAAACAGGAAAGTGAGATCCTTTGGAATTCAAACAGAATTGTGGGATTTGGTTTTGCCAAGCTGGTGTGGGAATGTAATTCCCCAGATGTGTTTGGATGGGATGATTTGTTATTCCCAAATACTTGCTGGAAAAGCAGTGAATGTTTCCATGGCTGAATGTACAGTTTCTAAGCTGGATTTACATTTTAATGTTGAAAAACTTGGTGTATCTCAAGCTTGTTGTAAAATACTCCTCTGGTTCCTGTTCCTGACATGGCATTGGAGAGTTGAAGTCCACATTAGATATTTTATGTTAAACAAATAAATAGTTTTTTCAGGAAATAAGTTTTTGGCTCTTCTGGGGGATGTTTAGGAGGAATCATAGCTTTGTTTTGTTTGGTTTGGTTTTTTTTGTCTTGGTGTTCAGAGGTTTGAGCTACAGGGCTCAGCACTCTGCAGGTCTGACTCATTTTCTGTTTGTTTTGTGCATTTAGATGTAAAGAAAAGTCACAGGATTCCTGTTCCCATTGTAAGTAACCTCACTACAGCAAAATATTGTGGATGCTGCATCCCTGGAAATGTTCCAGGCAAGGTTGGACAGGGCTTGGAGCAACCTGGGAGAGGAGAAATTGTCCCTGCCCATGGCAGGGGTGGGACTGGATGAGCTTCTAGATTCTTTCTCACCCAAACCATTCTGGGATTCTATGTATTTTTTAAATTCTCTTAAAATCTTTAATTGATTTTCATATTTAATTCAGTTTCCCTGGGTGTGCTGGCATCAGGTGGCTCCACATGTGTCTGGACTTTGGGGCAGGGAGGGTTCCTTCTACTCATTTCCATTTCAGTATAAACCCTTCATTTCCCTATCACTTTTCTAAACCATCATTAAGTGCCCAACCCTATTTTCCTCCACCCTGTCACTGATATTCTTATTTTGATGCCCAATAATTTACAGGCAGGAGGTGGTTGAAGGATGAGTCAAAATGACTCAGGAGCTGCAAATCCTTCTCATGTTAATGCTGGGTGTTCTCATCCTAGAGTGCTTCCATCTTCCTTCATCCCAGAGCTTCCATCTTCCTTCATCCCAGAGCTTCCATCTTCCTCCTCCCAGCCTGGGATGCAGAGCCATCCTCCTTCCTGGGAATGGAAATAATTGGGAACTGGAAGGGTTTGTGTGGCTGAAGCAATGCTGGTGAAATATTCTCTCATCTCTGGTTACTTTTTGGCATCCTCAGGCATTTCTAAAGCTCATCCTCAGGATTGTGGAATATCCTGAGCTGGAAGGGAGCACAGGGATCATCCAGTTCAACTCCTCAACAGTCCCACCCTGTGCATCCCTGGGAGTGGTGTCCAAACACTCTTTGAGCTCTGGCAGGAGTTTGCTGACTTCCCTGATACTTGATGTGCTTCCAGCTTTGTTCTGGGTCACAGGAGATCCTTGTGGAGTTTCTAAAATGTGCTGACACTGGAGATGGGAGGTGGTGCTTTGTGTGTGTCAGAGGACAGGCAGGAATTGTCCAGACCCCATTCCCTGACCTTCCCTGGCCTCAAAATGAATTTTAATCCCTCTGATTAAGATTGATTTTGATAATTGATTAAAATTGATAAAACTGAAAAAAGTGGGGATTTGCTGTGGCTGCCCCATCCCTGGAAGTGTCCAAGGCCAGGTTGGAGGAGGCTTGGAGAAACCTGGGAGAGTGGAAGGTGTTCCTGCCCTGGACTGGATGATCTTCAAGGTCCTTTTCCATCCAAATCCACAATTCTGTGATTTCTGTTAGTTCTTAATGCCGTGGGCACTCTAGGAACCAGAGATCTTCACAGGATGATATTCCAGGATTCCTGGTCTGCTTGGAATCTGGACTGATGACTCCTACTCCTCCAGGATGAAATATTTAGGAAAAATGTGTGTGGAGGCATGGAATGATGATCTCCTGGGACCTTTCTGTGGAATCAGCACTTGAGGCCCTTCCTGTGCCATCACTGAGAGGAAGAACCACCATGCACAAGAGGTCTGAACATTCCCTTTATTGGTCACACAGATTAAATTGAGGCCTTTAGAAAACAAACAGAGTAAACCTGCAAATGAAATTGCAGATCAGCTCATTCCTGTTTGCCCAGAGGCCACGTGGGATCACAGGGCTCCTGCAGGCTCTGAGATCAAAGAATCAGGTGTACAGTGATTTCCTACACCCCTGCTTGTCCAGTGGAATTTTCCCAAAATCACCAAAGTGTCGCTGGATTTACAGCAGAGAATGAGCTCCTGGATGTCTCATATTTGGAATAAATGAAGGGATCCAGTTCCCCTGAATGGCTTTTCCTGAGGTGGCATCACAGACCCTTGAGTTCAGCATTAATCAGCAGGGAATTTCCTCCAGCCTTTGTTTTCCTGACTTTACCCAGAGACTGCAGCATTTCCAGGGAAGCTGGGAACGCTTTGGACAGTGGCTCCCAATTTCCCCAGCCCAGCTGTGTCTGCTAAGCCCAGCAGGGAGGTGCCCACGCTGCTGAGCTATTCCTGGCACACAGAGTCAGCAGGAGACAGGAGCTGCACCACGGATGAGTAAGGAGCACTTGGCTTATCCACACAGGAGAGCGAGCCAGGCACTGTGCTGGGCTCACCACAGCCTTTGGATCTGAGGCTTCCTCACCATCCTGCCCAGGATTGGTTTGTAAAGCAGGAAAGAACGTGGAAGAGAAAGCTCAGCCAGGCTGTATCTTCAGAACAGTGTGTTGGGTCCCCAAAAGCATCGCTGATCACCCCAAAAAGTTCTGCTCCTCCTCTGAGAAGCACAACCTTCCCCAAGCCAGGCCCTCTCTGCAAGCTGGGAGAAATGGGAAGCTGAGGGGCCCGTGGGAGTTTTAGGGACAAGAAGAGCTATTTTCTTATGCTCTCTGCTATATATAGAGCCTGGCAAGCCCACAGGGCTGGAACAAGTTGCTTTTGTTGCTAAAACATCGTTTGGAAAGGCCATTTTAGGCAAGTGCTGCTGTCTGGTGCCAGCTACACTAAGCAGGTGCTGTGGCCCGAGCTTTGTCCTGGCAGGAATGTGAGGGGAACTGGAGTGAGCCAGGCACGTGCTCCCAGAGCTGCTGCTCCTTCCCTGGGAGCCTCAGAGCTTCTTCCTACTAAGGAGCTTTTGCCTCCTGGGGGGGAGCCTGTAAATCTAATTACACCCTGGGGTGTTGGAGCAGCCAGCAGAGACCTCAGGTGTCCCCAGCTCCATTTCAGATCCCGTCCCCTGGTGCAGATGAACTGCAGGGCTGTGCAGGGTTCAGCTGAACCCAGCCTGACCCCAGACAGCCCTCAGTGCACTTTGCCATGGGTGATTAGTCCATATTTGAAAGCCTTTCCTCCAGGCAGGGTGTGGAGGGAGTGGAGCCGTCTGGAAAATGGAAATTAGACTCTGAGAGCCAGAGCTGGGTGAGCAGCTCATGTGTGGATCCCTGCGCCGTTCCCATCCTTCTGCTGTGATTCCTAAGCCACTTTTGTCACACATTCCAGGGGAGCAGGAGCTCACAAGCGGGGTCCTGGGGGGATGCCCAGCTGCTGCTTCTCCTGCAGGATGGTCCCAAAGAGCCGAGCTGCTGCCATGGCACAGCCCCAGTGGATGGTGAGCCCAAAGCCGCCGTGCCCGTAGTTGTGAATCACCTGGGGGAGAAGCACAGAATCCCAGCATGGGCTGGGGAATCTCAAAGCCCTCCTTGTCCCATCCCCTGCTGTGGGCAGGGACATCTCCTACAAGCCCAGGTTGCTCCAACAGATCCCTGAGCACTTCCAGGGATGGGGCAGGACATCAATCATTTGTTTGTCTCTGACATTTATGCCTGGGCTCAAAGATTCTCTCGCTGATGGTGGGGAGATTGAGAGAGGGATGATCAGAGGAACAGAGCTTGTTTATCGCTGCCCCAGGCACAATTAACACGGTGATTAATTACACTGGGCGGGTACCTCTGCCTGGCGATTCCCCAGCCGGATGCTCTCCCTCTCCAGGCGCACCGAGGGCCGTGCTGGTCTCAGCCCGCTCCACTCCCCGACGATCTTCGCCTTCTGGAAGCAAAAGCACGTCAGCACTGCACAGCATTCCTTGGAATCCCACCGGCCAAACCTCACAGCACCAGCTGAGCCCTGAGGTGAGCAGGAACAGGAACTTCCCCATCCTGCAGCAGCTCCAGGCAGAACAATTTGGGATAGCAGTGCCAGCCTGGAGCTGAGGCAAATCCCTGTGCCAAAGCCCCACAGCACCTTTCCTGCTAATCCAGGGAATAACAGCAGCACTGGGAGTGGACACAACCCAGCCTCACCCCACAGAACCCTTCTCTAAAGGTGTGGGGACAAAGGGCTGGAACCTCCCAAAGCTCTGGTTCTATACATGAGTAATTATTATCCCTACAAACCTTGTCTCAGTGCCAGCCCCAGGCCTGCCTGTCCCTCAGGCAGGTGGAAGAGCCCTGGGTGTCCATGATGGACACGCAGAAACCCTGGTGATGGACACAGAGAAACCCTGATGATGGACACACAGAAACCCTGGTGATGGACACACAGCAACCCTGATGATGGACACACAGAAACCCTGGTGATGGACACAGAGAAACCCTGGTGATGGACACACAGAAACCCTGGTGATGGACACACAGAAACCCTGACTCATGGGAACAGCTCCTGTGCTTTGTCCCAGCACTCATTCCTGCATCCTGAGCCCCCCCCAGCTCCCTGTGCCCCATGCTGGCAGTCGGGTCACCCACCTGGAGAGCTGGCAGCAGCTGGCAGCAGCTGTCCCAGATGGATTTGTGGTCCTTGGCACTGTTCTCCTCACTCCAGTTTCCGTGCTGGTAAACCCCTCCCAGGACTGTGAACTCGCTCCTGCACCAGGAGCCAAAGGAGACACACAGGGTGGTGGCTTGTCCCCAGCTGTCCCCTGTGGGGCCACCACGTGGAGGGACACTGTGTGAGTGTGGTGATGGATCCTGCTACACCCTGAGCCTGCAAAATATTCCTGTGGGAGACACTCCCACGTGGAGCAGGCAGGGAGAGGAGCCTGCAGATCTGCTCGTGAGCAAGTCACTCATTAAATCCTGTCAGCCCTTCTTTGTCTGGGCTAAGCAGGCAGGTAATTCCATCCTTATCAAACAGGTCTGCCCCTGCCTGGCTCAGGAAGAGCTGGGAGGAGCAGGATGGATCTGGAGGGGAACACAGAGATTGGTGCTGCTGCTGCTGCCCCAAACTCCTGTGGATTAACAGAGAGCAAGAGGCAGGTTAAGGCTGAGGGGGCCTGCAGGTGTCTCTATGGCTGGACCCTTCCAAAACCTTGCTTGATCATTGGGAAGCACAAAAGCAAAAGGAGGGA